GATGCGGGGAGAGGGGTGTATAGAGCAGGATGCGGGGAGAGGGGTGTATAGAGCAGGATGCGGGGAGAGGGGTGTATAGAGCAGGATGCGGGGAGAGGGGTGTATAGAGCAGGATGCGGGGAGAGGGGTGTATAGAGCAGGATGCGGGGAGAGGGGTGTATAGAGCAGGATGCGGGGAGAGGGGTGTATAGAGCAGGATGCGGGGAGAGGGGTGTATAGAGCAGGATGTGGGGAGAGGGGAGCAGCGTTGGGTTGCAGATTGGCAAGACAGCAATGGCAGGCAGCAATGCGGACTGGGGAAGTAAGCACAAGGGGAAGTCGCTTGTTCTGCCTGCAGCAACAGCTATTGTGCCTGCAGCTGGGTACGTGTGGGTGGTTACTAGTACAGGTTGTCACCTGTGCAGGTTGTCACCTGTGCAGGTAGTAATACGAGCAGCTTTCTATTCTACCTGTGCAGGTAGTAATACGAGCAGCTTTCTATTCTACCTGTGCAGGTAGTAATACGAGCAGCTTTCTATTCTACCTGTGCAGGTAGTAATACGAGCAGCTTTCTATTCTACCTGTGCAGGTAGTAATACGAGCAGCTTTCTATTCTACCTGTGCAGGTAGTAATACGAGCAGCTTTCTATTCTACCTGTGCAGGTAGTAATACGAGCAGCTTTCTATTCTACCTGTGCAGGTAGTAATACGAGCAGCTTTCTATTCTACCTGTGCAGGTAGTAATACGAGCAGCTTTCTATTCTACCTGTGCAGGTAGTAATACGAGCAGCTTTCTATTCTACCTGTGCAGGTAGTAATACGAGCAGCTTTCTATTCTACCTGTGCAGGTAGTAATACGAGCAGCTTTCTATTCTACCTGTGCAGGTAGTAATACGAGCAGCTTTCTATTCTACCTGTGCAGGTAGTAATACGAGCAGCTTTCTATTCTACCTGTGCAGGTAGTAATACGAGCAGCTTTCTATTCTACCTGTGCAGGTAGTAATACGAGCAGCTTTCTATTCTACCTGTGCAGGTAGTAATACGAGCAGCTTTCTATTCTACCTGTGCAGGTAGTAATACGAGCAGCTTTCTATTCTACCTGTGCAGGTAGTAATACGAGCAGCTTTCTATTCTACCTGTGCAGGTAGTAATACGAGCAGCTTTCTATTCTACCTGTGCAGGTAGTAATACGAGCAGCTTTCTATTCTACCTGTGCAGGTAGTAATACGAGCAGCTTTCTATTCTACCTGTGCAGGTAGTAATACGAGCAGCTTTCTATTCTACCTGTGCAGGTAGTAATACGAGCAGCTTTCTATTCTACCTGTGCAGGTAGTAATACGAGCAGCTTTCTATTCTACCTGTGCAGGTAGTAATACGAGCAGCTTTCTATTCTACCTGTGCAGGTAGTAATACGAGCAGCTTTCTATTCTACCTGTGCAGGTAGTAATACGAGCAGCTTTCTATTCTACCTGTGCAGGTAGTAATACGAGCAGCTTTCTATCTACCTGTGCAGGTAGTAATACGAGCAGCTTTCTATTCTACCTGTGCAGGTTGAAGAGTGAGACACCGATCATTATGATGAGGACGCCCACCAGGTTGACACGCGTGAAGCGATCGGAGAACACCAGGTGGGACACCTGGGGTGGAGGAGGGAGGGTGCACTTGATTGAAGGTAGGTATGTGTGCAAGGAATGGAGCGCAGGCGCCTCTACGCCCAGCAGGTTCACACGAGACAACGGATCCACAAACACAAGGTGGGACACTGAGGGGTGGAATGGGGCGCTCTCAGATTCAGGGATGAGAAGCACACAGCAGGTGGTGCATGGCAAGGCTGGTGGAGGACGAATGTTGGCGACCCAGAGAAGCAATTCGGCTCGGCACCTACCGCCGTTGGAGTCCAGCCTGGTCTTTCCTTGACTCTCACCAGGATGGTGGCTCCTTCCTTGACAGTGCCGGCCACAGAGAAGGTGACGGCGCTGGTGTGCAGAATGAGCAGGAACTCCGACATGATCTGATGGGTTTGACCAAGAGGGAGGGGTGACGTGATGGGTGGGGGGAGGAGGGGAGGAGGGGAGAAGGGGGGGGTTTAGGACGAACAGTGTGTGACGAGGACGACAAGCACCCCACCCAAGGGCAGGAGCAGCATCACGTATCATGGACCAAGAAGGGCAACTTAATGCCTGAGGCCTAGCATGAAGAAGAAGAAGAGCACGCCTTCGAGCAGAGCAGTGGCAGCGGCAGCGGCAACACAAGGTATGGTGAACAACTAAGGGCAGCGCATTGCCTCAGCCATCCCATGGGAAAGGTGGGAACCCCTCCCTCCCAGCAGCAGAAGCAGCATCGTGGGCGAAGGTGGGGTTGCGAGGGTGAGGGTGAGAGAGAAGTAGGGCGACGTGGGCAGCGATTCATCCCATCAAGCAGGCGAGCAGGCGTAGCATGAGGAGCAGCAGCGGCAGGAGAAGCATAAGACTTTTGAGACGTCTCAAAAGCATAAGACACAGTGAAGGAGCTGGATGAAAGAGCTTAGGAGTTGCCTGTAAGTTTACCATAAGGAAGGTGTGCACGCCACGCCTCCCAGCAGGAGGAGCAGCATGGTGGGCGCGAGGTGTGAGGGCGGGGAGAAGTAGAGCGACGTGGGCAGCGAGGCAATCCCATCAAGCAGGCGAGCAGGCAGGCATAGCATGAGGAGCAGCAGCGGCAGGAGAAGCATAAGACACAGTGAAGGAGCAAGGGCAAAGAGATGCGTGAGGCGAGGCGTACCATGAGAAACGCGAGCACGCCTCCCAGCAGGAGCAGCAGCATGGTGGGCGCCAGGTGTGAGGGCGGGGAGAAGAAGGGTGACGTGGGCAGCGAGGCGAGCGGCTCGAGGGCGAGCGAGAAGAGAGAGCACGTGACGGCCATGGGGGGCGTGAGGTATGCTAGCGACACCAGGGGGCTGCTGAGACCTGCATGGAGGGGTGTGGGATGGGAGGGGTGGTGGAGAGGAGTGGGATTGGGAGAGGTGTGATGAAGAGGGCGTGGATGTGGATGTGGATGTGGATGTGGATGTGGATGGAGGAATGAGGTGCAGCGCGCAGCAGAGAAAAGCCCAGCCACACAGCAAGGAGCAGAGCGTGCCACACACAACGCAAGGGAAATGGCCAGGCCAGGGTAGGGGGAAGGGGAATACAAGGGGAGGGCAGGGGGGAAGGAGGGGAGGAGGGGGGTTGAGAAAGGGAACATACCGAGGCGATCTTTCTGGGAGAAGAAAGGGTGGGCTTGGTGCGAGCCATAGCATGTGCAGCGAGGAGGGCAATGGGGAGGGCAATGGGGAGGGCAATGGGGAGGGCAGTGGGGAGGGCAGTGAGAGGGAAGCAGAGGCACAACGAAAGGGGAGTCAGGGTTAAAGTTTCAGGATACAACTTTAGCATGGCACGGGATGGGGCACAACAGAGTATGCTACAAATCTCAAGGAAATGCTTGATTTGGTTCCATACTATACCACAGCACCACCCTGCCGTGGCACATGCAGCACACTTGCAGAACCACCTGCAGCAGCAGCAACCCACCCCATCTGCAGCAGCAGCAACCCGCCCCACCTGCAGCAACCCCCCCCCCCACCTGCAGCAACCCCACCCCACCTGGGGAAAGCCCGCACAGGAAAAGCCCGCACGGGGAAAGCCCGCACGGGGAACTGGGATACCGGGAAGCCGGGAAACCGGGAAACCGGGAAACCGGGAAACCGGGAAACCGGGAAACCGGGAAACCGGGAAACCGGGAACCGGGATACCGGGAACCGGGGAACCGGGGAACCGGGGAACCGGGGAACCGGGGAACCGGGGAACCGGGGAACCGGGGAACCGGGAAACCGGGAAACCGGGAAACCGGGAAACCGGGAAACCGGGAAACCGGGAAACCGGGAAACCGGGAAACCGGGAAACCAGGAAACCGGGAAACCGGGAAACCGGGAAACCGGGATACCGGGATACCGGGAAACCGGGAAACCGGGATACCGGGATACCCGGAAACCGGGAAACCGGGAAACCGGGAAACCGGGAAACCGGGATACCGGGATACCGGGAAACCGGGAAACCGGGAAACCGGGAAACCGGGAAACCGGGATACCGGGATACCGGGAAACCGGGAAACCGGGATACCGGGATACCGGGATACCCGGAAACCGGGAAACCGGGAAACCGGGAAACCGGGAAACCGGGATACCGGGATACCGGGAAACCGGGAAACCGGGAAACCGGGAAACCGGGAAGCCGGGAAGCCGGGAAGCCGGGAAGCCGGGAAGCCGGGAAGCCGGGAAGCCGGGAAACCGGGAAACCGGGATACCGGGAAACCGGGAAACCGGGAAACCGGGAAACCGGGATACCGGGATACCGGGATACCGGGAAACCGGGAAACCGGGAAACCGGGAAACCGGGAAACCGGGAAACCGGGATACCGGGATACCGGGAAACCGGGAAACCGGGATACCGGGATACCGGGATACCGGGATACCGGGAAACCGGGAAACCGGGAAACCGGGAAACCGGGAAACCGGGAACCGGGAACCGGGAAACCGGGAAACCGGGAAACCGGGAAACCGGGAAACCGGGAAACCGGGAAACCGGGAAACCGGGAAACCGGGAAACCGGGAAACCGGGAAACCGGGATACCGGGAAACCGGGAAACCGGGATACCGGGATACCGGGATACCGGGAAACCGGGAAACCGGGAAACCGGGAAACCGGGAAACCGGGATACCGGGAAACCGGGAAACCGGGAAACCGGGATACCGGGATACCGGGAAACCGGGAAACCGGGAAACCGGGATACCGGGAAACCGGGAAACCGGGATACCGGGATACCGGGAAACTGGGAAAGCCCACAGCAGGGAAGCCCGCAACCCCACCCCACCTGCAGCAACCCCACCCCACCTGCAGCAATCCCACACTACCTGCAGCAACCCCACCCCACCTGCAGCAACCCCACCCCACCTGCAGCAACCCCACCTCTCCTGCAGCAATCCCCCCCCACCTGCAGCAGCATCATCACCTCACCTGCAGCAGCACTTGAATGAGCACCCATCGCAGGCCAGATGCCATGGCAGAGAGCATGACGAGTACGAATCCCCACAGGTGGAACGATGCCTCCCCCGCCACTGGCAGAGGCCCACAGGCATGCACACATGCACATGTATAGAAATACAGGAGGATAGTGAGTGATGTGAGTGTTGTGGTGGAGGAAGAGGGGATGTTGGGTGAAATGAATCCGAAGGGGCTAGTGGCATGCCAAAATGAGAGGGAAGGAGGGCATTGATAAGGAGGTGAGTATCGGAGTAGTGACAGCGACAGAGTGACTGGCTGACCTGTAAAGAGCACGCCCACTGAGATCACCATCATGACTCCGATGAGACGGAAGCTGATAGGCTCCAACCTGCCGCCCATGGCGTGGCAAGCGGTGGCATGGGGTGGCAAGGGGTGGCATGGGGTGGAATGGGGGCATGCGCAGTGCAGCAAGGAGACACAAGGAGGACATAGTACATACTGAGGCGCTCAGCAGCAGAGATGCAGGAAGACAGAGGCACTGGGCGTTGCAGTGCAGACATGTGGTTGGGCGGACACAGGGAAGGCATTCAATCAAAACACACTTCAAGACACTTAAGTTGCATCTTGAATTGAAAATCGTTACACCAGAACACACTTTGAGTGGCGTGAAATGAAGCGCACCTGAAGATGAAGGCGAAGAGCAGCAGGAACATGGGCGCGCTGGACTTGCACTGCCGTGTGGTGCGGATGGGGGGATCAACAACACGGTGGGGTGGGGAGGCGAGTGGGGAGGGGAGTGATTGTGAGCGGCGGAAGCGAGTCAGGGGATGGAAAAGCAAACGGGGTGCGCGTGTCCGTGGGGTGCGGGGGGGAAAACGGGAGCGGGGATGGAGGAGAGGGATAACGGCAGAAAGTGTGATGCATGCGTGCGTGACTGGTGAATAATGATGAGTGATGTGATGATGAGTGATGCTGGGTGATGAGATTATGAATATTGATGAGTGATAGTGAGTAATGATGAGCGATCATGAGTCATACCATACCATGGTGTAGAAGGTGAGTGTGATATAGGCGAGCGACTGATTGGAGAGGGCGATGTCGACTGCTGTTGCCACCGCTGTTGGGATCACTGCTCGTTGCCCCACCGGTACATGCCATACCATGCCATGCCATACCATGCCATGCCATACCATGCCATGCCATACCATGCCATGCCATGCCATGCCATCCCATGCCATGCCATGCCATGCCATGCCATGCCACCACACGACATCATAGAGAAGAGAGGACATGCCATGCCATGACATACAGGGGCATCCATGGCATGGCACAGCAGCCGTGCAGTGCAGATGGCAGCACCCATGGCATGCATGGAGCGGATGGCAGCACCCATGGCATGCATGGAGCGGATAGGACGGGGAGGTGAGGCGAGAATGGCAGGCAAGTGGAGGAGAGACAAACGAGTTCAGTGACAAGGCGGAGAGAGGGCAAAGATGTGCAGACAAGGCACGGGGGCAGAGGAGGCACGGGGGCAGAGGGTGTGAGAGCAGAGAGGGGAGCAGAGAGGGGAGCAGAGAGGGGAGCAGAGAGGGGAGCATAGCAGGCGAAGGAAAGTGGCAAGTGGCACACAGCGAAGCCATTGCAGGGGTGCACCTCTAAGGTAGTAGTCGCGGGAGGAGAGGGGGAGCGGGGGCAGGGCGGAGGGGAAGGCGGAGTGCAGGAGCGCGGAGGCCATAAGCGCCTGCTGGGCGAAGTGGAAGGCCGTCAGCAGCAGGGGCGCAGGGAAGCGGCCGTGCTGCTGCCCTATCAACATCTTGTTGTAGCTGGGGGGTTTGGGGTGGGGGCAGGGAGAGGGGGGAGAGGGCGGAGAGAGGGGGAGAGGGGGGTAAGAGGGGCAGAAGAGGAGGCGAAGAGGGAAAGAAGAGGGAAAGAAGAGGGAAAGAAGAGGGAAAGAAGAGGGAAAGAAGAGGGAAAGAAGAGGGAAAGAAGAGGGAAAGAAGAGGGAAAGAAGAGGGAAAGAAGAGGGAAAGAAGAGGGAAAGAAGAGGGAAAGAAGAGGGAAAGAAGAGGGAAAGAAGAGGGAAAGAAGAGGGAAAGAAGAGGGAAAGAAGAGGGAAAGAAGAGGGAAAGAAGAGGGAAAGAAGAGGGAAAGAAGAGGGAAAGAAGAGGGAAAGAAGAGGGGGGGGAAGACGGGAGAAGTGGGGAAGGAGAGGCGGGAAACGGAGAAGAAGAATGGAATGAGGTAAAGCGAGGTGCTTAAGGCTGAGCGTGGTGCTTACAGGCTGAGCGCGGTGCTGAAGGAGTACCAGAGCAGCAGCAGCGCCAGCACGCGTGCCACAGGCCACAGGCTACGAGGGTCGCACCACACGCGCACACGCACCCCTCCCCACCCCACGCTCGCCTTCACGCTGCCGCCGCCACCCGCACCAGTCACAGCGGCACCTGTAACTGAACCACCACCACCACCACCCATGCCAGCACCAGCAGCAGCGGCATCCAGCCAATTCTGAGACCCCATTCCGTCCCCCGACTTGCTCCGCTCAAACCGTCTCCCCCGCACCCTCCTTGCCCGCCGCTCCCCCGCCCTTCCCCTTCCCCCATCGCTGGCCTCGTCAATCTCTGAGTCTGTTTCTCTGGCGCTACTGTACGCGCTACTGCCATGCCTCTCGCTCAACCCTACCGCGTGTCTCTCGGGAATTTCAATCAAAGGTCGCACGTCCTCCTCTACCCCTTCTCCCCTCTCTCCCCTCTCTCCCCTCTCTCCCCTCTCTCCCCTCTCTCCCCTCTCTCCCCTCTCTCCCCTCTCTCGCTCGCTGAAGCGAACCTCGTCAGCGCGGCGAGTGACGCCATCAATGTCAGGTCTGACGTCATCTCCTCCTTCCCGCACCTGCAGCTCTACTGAAGCGCCGCTGGCATGACGTGTCACACCGGTTAAACCTGCTGACGGCTTGACGCTGACGCTAACTGAGCTGTCGCCGCTGTCCTCGATGGTAATTAAGCTGCTGTTACTCGAGCCGTCTCTGTCGCCGATTACGACTGCGCTGCTGCTACTGGAAGCCCTGCTGCTGACGTCAGAGGTAACGGTCGCCGTATCCCTCGGTCGCGACGAGCTGCGAGGAGACGACTTTAATCGCGGAGTTGAAGCCTTGTCATGAGGCCCGTTGGACCTCATTGCTTCTGTTAGAGGAATCAAGGCTGCATGGAATACGCCGAAGGCGCTTCAACATGTCAAAGACACCATCATGGTAGTTGGGAAATTGTGCACGATAGTGGTATGGTAAGGGCGTGGGCAGCGCGTTCATTTTCTCCACTTTTCCAAAATTTTGACGCCCGTCGAATCAGGAAAATACTGTAGCATTTTTGCACCGCGCTTAGTTTGTGTCCCAGGTGGGACACGCGCGTCCAGAATTAGGCACAGGTCCCGCCACACTTTTGCCCAACCGCCCACCCAATGAGGTAACCCTGTGCTAGTGGATCTGGTGACGGGGCGCAGTACGAAGCTGTATTTGTGAACCCATGAATTTGCGAGGGTCGTACGCGCTTGACGAACTCGTGGTGCGGTTTCGCTGACCTGCACACAGGCATTCTCGAATGATGCGCGTGTTGTTCGCGGCCGTCGTGGGAACGTGTTCTGTTCGGTTGACGGCACGGAAAACAGCCACCGTTCATCCACTGTATACTCCATCGTGTCCACTCGTTACTCTAAATCAGGGTTACAAACCGCTGAATCTGGTAACTGTTTCGGGCTAAGCCAAGAAAATGAACGCGCTGCCCCCGCCCTAAGTGTGCCTGCTGAGAGCTGAGCTGAGCATTGATACTGATGACGACGATACGTGTTCGGTGTGGCATGAAGAAGGCTAGGTTCAGCTTTACCTCTTTTCTGGTTCGGTGAGGTGCCGCGCGGTTGTAGGGTGCGATGCATTCCTCGTATAGAAAGACGTGCTATACAGCCTATAAACAGTTGCAATACCTCCAAGCTTATCTTAGTTATATTAGTGCGTTGATCAAAATTAATTAGTTAATGAGTGAAATGAATGCTGAAATTTTTCCTTTTCCCCGAATTATTTCCTAAGCAGCCTTTCAAGGAGAAACATTGCCACAAATCCAGTGCTGTTTATAGAACCTGTATGGTAGCTATTGACATAGTGTTATCTCAAATTACTTCAAATTACACAAATCGACATTTTTTCACGCAATGTCGAGTATCACTGCATGCCACTGACATTTTTCAAGGCGAATTCCACCTGTCCAATCACATGCAAAAGCGCACAGCAGTCCCTGCAAGAGGGGCGGGAATTTTAAATTTAAGTTTCAGCGCCTCGGCAGGTCCCTACCCTGTCCATCCACCTGTCTCGCGCGCCTGCATGACCCGAGTTGCAGATGCGCCCAGTCAACAATGGTCTGTCCGCCATGGCTACCGAACAGTGGCGGCAAATGGACCAGGTCTCGAGTCAGGCGGGCATAACCCGTTCCGCACAATCCATCGCGTTTGTTCTGCGCTTTCATTCAATTCTGCGCGTCGACAAGCACTCTGTCCTCGAAGCTCCTACCGCGTCCTCCTCACACGACACACATCCCTCGTCTCCTCCTCACTCTCTCTAGACAGACAAACCACACCACGATTTTCTAGTATCAATTTCTCTGCGAGGCTAGTTCACCATATCTCTTAGAGGTAGTATCACTCCGTCATAGAGACCAAGTCCTTACTCCGCAAGCACCGAGAATCACCACGTGGTTCAGATACCCATTCATACAATCCGATACCCTGTACCGCCGAGCGAGTAGGCGCCATGGGGCGAACAATTTACCAGGTCGTTGCGACCTGCGCGTGTCTGCTGCTACTCCTATCCCACTCGTCCGCTGAGGCTCCCTCGTCCAAGCCGCCTTCCACCCACGAATCAGCTTCTTCTTCCAGACCGGCCCCTTCTCCCAAACCGGCTGATGCTCCCAAACCTGCTCTCGCTCCCAAACCAGCTCTCGCTCCCAAACCAGCTCTCGCTCCCAAACCTGCTCTCGCTCCCAAACCTGCTCTCGCTCCCAAACCTGCTCTCGCTCCCAAACCTGCTCTCGCTCCCAAACCTGCTCTCGCTCCCAAACCTGCTCTCTCTCCCAAACCAGCTCTCGCTCCCAAACCTGCTCTCGCTCCCAAGCCCTCTGCCTCCGGCCAAGCAGCTGGCTCGCCCGAGCCTGCGCTTCCCCCGAAGCCGTCTCTCGCTCCAAAGCATGCGCCCTCCCCCAAGAACGCCGACGCGCCTTCCCCCAAGACCGCTCCCGCGTCTTCCCCCAAGTCTGCCCCCCCACCCGCGGAAAAGGGGACCGCGCGACTGAGCGCGGTGGAGGAGGCGAAGCTGGCGGCGGAGGGATGGAAACTGACGGCGGAGAACCTGAAAACGCTGCGCGAGGAAGGAGCGGAGGTGTTGACGGAGGAGAATGTCCAGATGCTGACGGAGACGGATCCGTCAAGTCTGACGGAGGAAGACGGAGACAAGTACTTCCACTTCCACCACGTGGCGCACATGGCGCATCTGGCGCACATGGCGCACCTCGCGCAGCTGCAGAGCATGGAGGCGCACAACCAAGCAGAAGCCTCGGCGCAAGCGGTTCCTCCAGTCGCAAAGACTGCGGGGAGAAACGTTGACGGCGCCGCGGAAACCGCGGGCGAGAAGATTGACGGCGTGCGGAGCGTGGAGACGCCGAACACGGTAATTAAAGCCGCTGGGACTAAGGGCCAGGACGTCCGCGATATTGAAAATGACATCCTCGTTACGGACGACGTGAGAGTCACCGGCAAGGAGACAGCTGTACCCGCTATAACGGCATCCGTCAAGATTCCGAGCTCCGAAGCGGAACTCAGTCCCAAGGGCGTCGTGGCGGCTGCGGATGAAGCGGGCGACATCGAGGCGACCGATGCGAAGGAGACAGATGCGAAGGCGACAGTTGCGAAGGGCGACGTGAAGGCGACAGTTGCGAAGGGCGACGTGAAGGCGACAGATGCGAAGGGCGACGCGAAGGCGGCAGATGCGAAGGGCGACGTGACGGCGACAGATGCGAAAGGAGACGCGAAGGCTAAGGCCAACGGGAATTCTACCGATGTGAAGGGAGAGACCAAGGGCGAGACGAACGGCGAGGCCAAGGCTACAGCTGCTGACGCTGGTATCAAGGCCACAGATGCGAAGGCCGCGATCGGCGCCGATGAGAGCGGGCCGTCGAAACTGGCGGGCGTGAAATCGATGACCAGCGGCGATGCCGATGCTGTTGCCGATGCTGATATCGATGCTGATGCCGACGCTGCTGATGCCGATGCTGAAACCGATGCTGATGCTGCCAATGCTGCCGACGCTGATGCCGACGCTGATGCCGAGGCTGATACCGACGCGGCTGACGCTGATTACCCTGACGCCGCCAGCAGTGGCGGCGCCTCATCGGGCAGTAAGTACGTCATGACTGCAATGGGTGGCGCCAATAAAGAGGACGACAGTAGCGCGTACGAGGAGGAGAGCTGCCCGGCGGCTCCGCTGGATCAATGCGACTTCTACTTCGAGGGGCACCCCGAGGACGTGCCCGTGTTCCGCCTCGATAATATCACACCCGATACCGCTATAAGCCCGCCGCTCGTGTCGAGCCGCATTCAGCAGATAATTGAGGTGGATCGCAGCGGCGCAGCGCAGTTCCTGTGCCCAATGGACGGCGTGCGCGGCGACGACAACCAGTTCTACCTCACCAAGCAGCAATCCACGCTGCACGTCCGCACCTTCCAAACGGTAAGCCGATGGCATCTGGTAGCTCCCTCGCTCTATGCAATTTGTGAGAGTTCTTATATCGTGCTTACTATTGTAGGTTCGTTTCGGAGCGCTGAATCACTTGCGCGCTGTGAGCGAGAAGGCGAGAGCGAGAATAGGCAAGAGTGACTCAGAGTCACTTGCGGCAACCAAGGCCTCAGTGTTGCTACTGTTGCTACTGTTGCTCACCCAGTCGTCCCCTCATCCTCTCTCCCATTGCCCGCAGCTGTCCTCGCCGCGTGACAAGTTCGAGTCGCGGTGCGTGAAGCTGTGGATCGTGAATGCGCAGATCCCGGCGCCCAACGGCTCGGTGCTCAACACAGCGCCGGGCGACGACCTGCAGAGCGACTACCCCGACGCGCGCCGCTGCGTCGTCTTCAAGACCGGCCCCGTCGCGCCGCAGTCCGTGTCGTGCGGCCGCCAGCCCGTGTTCGCGCAAGCCGTCGGCTCCCCGCCCGGGGACCTCGTCGCGCGCCCTTCCTCGCCCCCCACGCCTTCCGCGCCGGGTGCGCCCGGCGCTCCTGGCTCTCCCCCTTCTTCCCCCAACAGCCCGCCGGGGGAAGACTCCCCGCCCTCCTCCTCCCCGCCCTCTCACAAGACGAGTACCAGCAGCCCGCCCTCTCACTCCCCCTCGTCTCCCCCTTCCGCCGACTCCCCTCCCTCCCCCGGGACCCCCGACCGTCCCCCCTTGGCGGGGGTTCAGACCTTGCAGCCGCCTTCCCCGCCCAAGCCGTCCCCCTCCCCGCGTGCTCCCGGGTCCCCCGCCGCGCCAGGAGAGGAATCCCCATCCTCCTCCCCGCCAGGCTCCCCCGACCGCCCGCCTACGCCCCCGCACGCGCAGGTACTCATTCCCCCTCTGGCTACCACCAAAACCCAGTCGCCCCCGCCCCGCACTTCCTCCCCGCCCCCGCCCACACCTTCCCCCGTCTCCCCCTCCGGGCCAGTCACCCCCCAGTCCACCCCAAACTCCCCCGACGACACTCCCCCGGAATCTCCCCCCGAGTCTCCCCCCGAGGGTTCCCCCGAGGCTCCCCCCGCGCCCATTCCCCCCGCTGAGTTCCCCAAGCCGACAGGGCTGTGCAAGATGATGTGTCCGGCCAACCCGCTGTCCCTCTGCGACTTCTACTTCCAGCAGCATCAGTCCGCCGTGCCCCTCTTCCACCTCAACGGCACTGTTCCCGACTCGGCCATCAGCCCGGCGCTAAAGACAAACAAGCTGCCGCCTGGGAAGTTTGTCGAGGTGGACTCGGTCGACCACAACCGGCTGCAGATTTTGTCCTGTGTGGATTACACATCAGCACCGGCGAGCTACAGGGAGATGTTTTACGTGACGGGGCAGATCGGGCGGCTGCACCGGCGGGCCACGGACGGGGAGAGCATGATGGAGTTTTACGATGGGGCGTGCGTGCGGGTGAAGCTACAGTCGCTGCAGCTGGCATATAACGAGACGAATGTGATTAATTTGAATTCTGGAGATGGCAACAAGGAGTTCCCCGAGTCGAGGCGATGCATCGTGTTCAAAACGGCCATGTGAGGAGCGAGGGGAGGGGTGATGGAGTGTGAAGGAGAGGGGGGGGTGGACTGCGGAGGAGAGGACATTCTCTTCTCTCCCTCTTAGGTCTCCAGCGGATGATGGTCCGCGCTAACCACGAGGCAAGCGCAGCGCTTGCTTTGATCTTAGTAGGCTTGATTTATTGTTAGAATGGGTCAGGAGGTGGTGCAGATGATGTGTGGAGGAGACATGGGTGCTGTCTAGTTTAGCTCGGATGCATGCGTGCGAACTGACTCTTGTAATGCTGCCAGTGTTTCTTGCTTGATACGGGACCTGCAATCAGCCAAACAAACTACCATAGACTAGACATACGATACCAAGGTAGGGGTAAATTGCAAGTCCATGTGTTTCTTGGTGCGGTACCGGTACAACATACAGTATGGTCTTGGCTAGCAAGCATGGCACTGAATGACAACATAAGTTAGCAGAAAGCAGCATACGCATGCAAGTGCCTGCTTGCTACCGTATCGTGCCACTTGGCATGTCGTGGGACTACCTGCACCCGTTGTGGACATTAGCAAATTAGCAAGGCACATCATGGAGAAGAATGTTGTTACCGCAAGTGGACAACTCAAGTTAGAAACCACGTGCACCAGTTTCTTTCTTGCACCTCACCTCACCGCCTCTTCACTTGCCACCTCACAGCTGTGCCTTCACTGCAGTCTGTTGCTGCCAGTTGCGCTGGGAGCAGCCGGGGCAGGCACCAACCTTCCGCTGGGAGGGAACGTGCTGTGCAGCAGCCTACCAAAGGGAGGTATGCAGCGGTGCGGTGCGGACGAACCAGACAGGGCATTCACCAGCGCCCTGCTGTGGCCTTTCAATAATCAATGGTGCCTAGTCTTGTGCTGTGACTTCATCTGCTGTTGCCAGTGTTGCTGGGAGCAGCGGGGTTGGGCACGAGTCGGCCACTGGGGGTGTGCAGCAGCCTGCCGCTGGGGGAAGGCAGCAGTCTCCCGCTAGGCGTGTGCAGCAGAGCAGGGGTGGCAGCAGCAGCAGCCAGAGCAGTCACCAGAGTCTTGCTGTGGCACGCTCCCCCTACACGCCCCCCACCAGTCCCCATCGGCATGAACTCCTCCAAAATCGTTCCAAACTCCTCATCCACGAATGAATTCTTGCGCCGCCGGCCCCCCTTGCTCTTCTCCCCAGTCCCTCCCGAACCTCCCCCCCCGGACCCCACTGCTGCTGCTCCCCCTGCTGCTGCCCCCCCTGCTGCGCCTCCTGCCCTTTTTCCTGCTGTTCCCAGCGGCCCTCCTGCAATTGCTGCGCGCCCTGCCCCCTATCCTCCCGGAGCTGAGGCATGTCTGCCAGCATGTCGGGCGACCGCAGCAGCACCTCAGATCGCATCGACGCTGATCGCACATACTCGCCCACCCCCTCTGCTGCTGCGCTCTGTGCCGTGCTCCTGCTGCTACCCCTCTGCTTCCTGCGCTGTGCTGCCCCACTCGCCACTTCCCCGTTGCTCCCTGCCGCTGCTGTCTCCTCTGCACCTGCTCCCCCTTTTCCTCCTCCCCCCCCGCTTTCCCGTCTTCTCCCCTTTACTCCCTTGCCTCCGCCCGCTCTGTTACTGCGCTGCATGCCACCAGCAGCCATACCCGTGTCTCCGTCCCCCTCCCCTCCCGCCCCTCCTCTCGCCTGCTTCGCTTCTTTCCCCCGCTTGACCTTTCGCCTGCCTCCGCTGCTGCTTCCATCCACACTCCCCTCCTTTTGCCCCTTCCCCGCTCGCTCCCCCTCACCTGCCAAGTTCCCTTCCCCCTCGCCTGCCCCTCCGCCCTCCCCCCCTCCGTCCGCCACCCCCATCCGCCCATCCACTTCATCGGGGAGAGGCCTGGGGGAGGAGGTGGGGGGCAGAACGGCGTGGGCGAGGGCAGCGCAGGCGGAGAAGAGAGGCTGAGCGGGCTGCTCGAGGGACGTGCACTGCAATGCCGCCTCTGACTGCTCCCCCCCCTCCCTGACCTTCATCCCCTCCTCTTCCTCCTCTTCCTCTTCCTCTTCCTCCTCCTCTTCCTCCTCTTCTTCCTCCTCCTCCTCCTCCTCCTCCTCCTCCTCCTCCTCCTCCTCCTCCTCCTCCTCGTCCTGCTCCTCCCCCTCCCTTCTCTCTTCCCACACCTCCCCCCCACTCCAGCCCTCCCTCCTGGCTCTCACGATCGGTCCCCCCTCCTCCTCCGCAGACACACTGCGCCCTACCGCCCGCCCTCCCCTCGCCGCCCTTCTTCCGCCACTCTCCGCCACCTTCCCCCACTGCAGATGCGCCAGCAGCGCAGCTGAAACCTCCCCCTGCCCCTTCGCCTCCCCCGCCACCCCCCTCTCCCCTGCCCGCGCCCGCCCTCGTTGCCCCGCCTCTCTCCCCGCGCCACCCGCACCAGTTCTGCCCGCTGTGCCACGTGCGAGGTAGGCGGAATGGAGTGGTTCCCTTTTCGCGGAGTGTACTGGCGGGTGTTCCCCGTGCATCCCGTCCGCGCTGCACCCGCTGCTGGTGCGCCCACCAGTAGACTCGCGGCTGTCGCGCGCATGTTCTTGCACCTGTGCGCGCCCACGCCTCTGCTCTCTCCCCCCGTTCTCCCCCCGCCCATGCGTTCCGCGCCCACGCTCCCCTTCCGCATCCCACGCCTCGGTGCCGCGCTTGCCTTCCCCTTCCCCCTCTGGTGACGACACAGGGGAAACCTTGTAGCCAATCACATCCGAAATGTCAACCTTTGGTGACGTCAGCACCATTGACGAGTCGCTGCTATCACCATCCGAGATTCCGAACAAAATTCCGCTCGTTACTTGGTAACCCGCTCGACGCTGCTCCCCAATGCCTGTTCGTATCTCCGCCCGACTCCCCTCCCCTTCCTCCCCCACAGGGAGCGCACTTACGGATGCGCGCCTGCAGTGCCCGTGCGCTTGCGCCAGGCGCGACGTAACGCGGGGGGGAAGACCGCGCGTGTGACGGTGGCCGGGGCGAGCGCGGGGAGGGGAAAGGCGAGGGGAGAGCGGAGGGGAGGGGGAGGACGAGGGGCTGTGGGGGAGGCTTCTAGATCCCCCGAGGGCGCTTTCCGCCGCTACAGCCGCAGCCACTGTGTTGGCGCAGATTGCTCCGCCCTGTCGCGTGTCGTTTTCCGGGCGCTGGAACTCCCCGCGCGCCCCTTCTCCCGCCGCTGCGCGCGTCCTCCGCGGTCGGCTGCCCTTGTGCCTTCCGCCAGCACCACCGCCGCGAGTCCCGGCGGTAACCCCGGCATCCTGCCACTCCGCGTGTTCGGTTTCTGCTCTTACACCGCCGTCGGCGAGAGAGGTGGACTTGGAGCGCGAATGGCCTCCGCGAGCCTTGCGCGGCTGTCGCTGTGACTGGCCCTGCGCACAGACAGATGCGCGGAGGCGGGGAGGGGGGAAGAAGGGGAAGGGGCGGAATGCGGAGGGGGAATCCAATGGGGGGCGCGTTCGCTGAAAGCCGGCTTGGAGGACATTCGCAAAGACGAAGATGTTTCGCTTGTTTCGCCTGCATTGTTCGCCCAGCTCGATTCCAGCATTCCCTCTCTTACCCTAGTCTGCACGCGATTCGCCACGTCAGCGAAGACGTCCTCGACGCTCGCCAGCTCCGCGGAGTGCAGCACGTACATCTCCCCGAGCCGCAGCACCTCTTCCGCTGGCAAATTCCACCGCCGCCCGCGATTCGCGCCGAGATTCTCGCCGTGGTTCCCGGGCAGGTCAGGCTGTGACACGAGGTACCCCGGGTGCTGCGCGAGCAGTTGCGCGACGGTGATTGGCTCGCGGAAGCTCTCCGCGCGGCCGTCTGGCATCACCACCCACACCTCGCGCGACCCCGCTGCGCCCATGGCGAGGGAGTTGGGGAAAGGGGGGAGTGGAACGGGGAGGTACGCGAGGAGCTAGCCACGCACGGAAGTAGCTCTATGCGATGCGACGCGCTTTGAAGTATTGCGACAATGGCAGGCTTAGTTTAAAGCTAGTGGTGGCCAATCGCGCGCAGCAATTCAGAACTGGCGTCGTCGTCGCTGCTCCAGCATGTTCGAGAGAGGCTTGATTAGATGTGTAGCGGGGGCTTACGACGAGCTCTCACTGTGTTAGTGGTGGTTAGGCTAATGTACAAGCAGGGTTGTCTTGTCAGCTCTAGTTAGCCGCCATAGTTTAAAAAAAAATTGGTGGCACAGTGGGAGGGTAGTGACAAGGGGGGAAGGAGGAGGATAGGTAGCGCATAAGGGTGGGGGCCCCCACTGGGGGGAGTGGGGAGGGGGGCGGCCGACTGTCAATTGTGCGGAGCGGAGTAGGGCGCGCAGGGGCGTTTGCGTTGCGGGAGATTGTTCCGGCGGCGCATGTGACGGGGAATGCAGTGAGCAAGGCTCCGGGGGTGGGTGGATAGAGTTTGAGAATCGAGAGAAATCGCGAGTCGCGGTTGAGGAAGGCGCGATCCCACGAGGCGAGTGGGTGGTTGGGGGCGACGCACAGCACAGCTGGGTGTGGTAGTTTGTGGAATTGATCTGGGCTGTGTTGATCTGGGCTGTCAAAGCTTACAGTGAAATTTCCTGATTCGTCAAGCCTGCTGCACACTGTACTGTGCGCCCTTGCCGCACCTCAACAGCTGTCGGACCGAAATTTTAGCCCAGCCGCTCGCTAATGTCCGAACGTGACGACCTGGTTTCCTGTGTTACTATTGGCCTAACGTAGCACGAAGCTCCGGGTCTCGTTGGGAATCCACCACAACCTTCAGGGACTGTTCAGCGAAGGTGTTGCCTGGACGCGCTTTTCACACGGTGAATCTGCCCGTAAATCTTATGGGCCTGCGGGAACGACCAGATGGTGGTCAACCGAGAAACTGCTGGCCGCTGATGCATCGGAACAGTGGACGCTAAACAGTCACTCTGGATAGACTCGATTGCCACTAGTTCCGGTACCAAAAGTGAGGAGAATGCTCACTTGCAAAATAATGAGAGCATACAAAGTCTGGCTGAAAATAGTAAGATAAAGTAAGACTAACGGATAGTCTCTGGGGGCACGTTCACCATCCACATGGATAAATGAAACGAAACGTTCTCACAGGATCCCTGAGTGATGATCGTCACTGCATTTGATATCAGTTACTCATATGTTTATATTTTGATAAATGACTAGAATGACCTATCCGATAGTTTTAACAACACAGCAAGAACAAAAGCAAATGCGAGGTCAAAATTCCGACATCGTTTCTCATTATCGCGGTTGTTTGGAGGAATGAGAGGTGTGCCTAATGGAATCACTGCCTATTGGAATCAATGCCTAATCCACACGTCCGCTTTTCCCATAACCCTAGATTCTGCTCAAAGAGACTAGCGCCTCCCTCGCAGCACAAGACATGGCGTCTCAAGATTCCGAGTGTCGTGTCGTCGCGATATCAGCAGGCGCCAGTCACACCGTCGCCCTGCTCTGTGCGTGTTTCTTGGCATAGTCGTTCAATATTTTTTAGACGAGTGGATGCCTTTTATCCAATGTGTTGGTATGTTGGATAAATTTTGTTTCGCGAATCTTTGCCTCTACATGTTTATCTGCTGCAGCTCTAATTTCCGCTTTCCGGTTGCGTTCTGAGCCTTTCCGCGTCTGTAGCCCGGCAACCCTAGAATTCATCTGTCCGTGTCGACTTTTGTATCGACTGCAAAAAGCCGTCTGCCATTCGCGCCTATAATCGCGCGCGTTCCCCCTTCCCCGCGCGCTCGTGCAGCGGACGACCGCGTGTGCGCGTGGGGGCGCGGGGAGGACGGGCAGCTGGGACTGGGCAGCGCGGAGGAGCAACTGGAGCCCACGGAGGTCGCGGCGCTCGCGGGGAAGCGCGTGTCGGCGCTGGCGTGCGGCGCGGACCACACGACGGCGTACTCGGAGGACTCGCAGACGCTCTGGTCCTGGGGATGGTGAGTTCATCGCGAGGAGGGTGGTGAGTTAGTCGGCGGTCGGCGGGGTTGGTCAGTTAATCGGCGGGTCGACGGGGTGGTGAGTTCATAGGCGGGGGGTTGCCGAGCTGATAGCGGGGGTTGGTGCGTCAATAGGCGGGGACGGTGCCTCAACGCCCATTCCCCCTTCCACTCATCTCCCCATGCCCCCGTCTGCTAATCTCCCGCGTCCCCTTCCGCCCGCACGACCCAACTCCCCATGCCCGCTTCCACCCGTCTCCCATCCTTTCCCCCAACCCCCCATACCCTCTCCCCCTCTTCTCCCCATTCCCCCATTCCGCTCCTCCCTCCCCCCGCCACCACGCGCAGGGGCGACTTTGGGCGGCTGGGGCACGGGCATTCGAGCGACGTGTTTCTGCCTCACGCCGTGGCGTCGCTGTGCGGGCGGCCCATCATGCACATCGCGTGCGGCGACTGCCATTGCATCGCTGTCGATGCTAATGGCACCGCCTTCAGGTGCTGGGCGGCCAGGTGGTGGGGCCGTCAGGTGCAGGTGGTGGGGCAGTCAGGTGCACGTGGTGGGGCAGTCAGGTGCACGTGGTGGGGCGCGCTGCTGCACTGGTAGGCCTCAAGGCCCTTAGGTGGCTCCTGGGGCGAGCATGGCTGTGCTGACTCGGGTTGGTTGTTGCACATTGTCACAGACATGCTTAGACTCATTACACCCCTTGGTCTCTGCATTGGGCTCCGCCTCCCTCCTCCTCTCCTCCTTCGCGCGCCCCTCACCGCGCACCGCTCGTTGTGTCCCCGGGCATCACCAGTTGGGGGCGCAATCAGAACGGCCAGTTGGGGCTGGGCACGTTGGACGACGCCCTCGTGCCCACGCAGATCACTGCCCTCGCTGTAAGCCTCTCCTCGCTTTCATACGATAGCTCCTTTCATTTCTAGTCCCTCGCTTCCTAGGCCCTCCCTTTCCTAACCCCTCCCATTCCTAGTCTCTCCCATCCCTATGCATTTCTCGTGTGCACTGCTCTGCCTGCCTGTTACTGCTTCACTCAGATTGTCGTTCCCTTGCCCCCCTCTTCTCCGACCTGCGTTTCCCCTGCCATCCCATGCCTGTGCTGTCCTCCCCTCTACCCTGTAACCTCTCCATTGCCACCAACCCATCCATCGCCTCTCCAACCTTCCCCATTCCCACCCTCCCCGCCTTCCCCTCCCCATCCACCTGCTCTTTCCCCCTCCCCCCCCCGCCTCCCCCTTTTGCAGGGGTTGCCGCTGAGGATGGTGGCAGCGGGGGCGGAGCACACAGCAGCAGCAGCGGAGGATGGGCGGCTGTATGGGTGGGGGTGGGGGCGCTACGGCAACCTGGGGCTGGGGGACCGCCTTGACAGGAAGCTGCCCGAGCAGGTCACGGCCATTGAGGTGCGTGGGGGGAAGAGAGTGGGTGGCAGCATAGCGCAGATGGCGTGTGGGTGGTGTGGGCGGCACACGATTGCAGTGAGCGGCGATGCCCTCCCATACATCGCCTCTTCCCATACATCACCTCTTCCCATACATCACCTCTTCCCATACATCACCTCTTCCCTCTCCACTTCCCCACCCACCCTCACCTGATTCTCTATTGCTGGCAGTCGGAGCGCATAGCACAGGTGGCGTGTGGGTGGCGGCACACGATAGCGGTGAACGGCGAAGGGCGGCTGTTCACGTTTGGGTGGAGCAAGTACGGGCAGCTGGGGCATGGGGACTTCCAGGACCACCTCACTCCTTCGCCTGTTCCAGCCATGCAGGACAAGCGCATCGTGCAGGTGAGACAAGCGCATCGTGCAGGTGAGACAAGCGCATCGTGCAGGTGAGACAAGTGCATGATGTTCCTTTCTCGTGTGCACTGCTCCGTCCGCAGACCTCCCTTCCTCCCCTTGCTCATCGGGTTCTGAAAGTCATCCAAGTCCTTTCCCTACACACTTGGCTCCACCAGGCTTCTGATGCCCATATAACCGTCTTCAACCGTTCTCCCCCTCCTTCCTTGGCTGCCGTGCAAGCAGGTGTCAGGAGGGTGGCGGCACTCCGTTGCGCTGGATGCAGACGGTGTGGTGTACGCGTGGGGGTGGAACAGAGTGAGTGGGCTTGGAAGGAGGAGTGGGATGGAGTGAGAGTGAGAGGGAGTGATTGAACCCAATCGGCAAGGAATTATTTGTTTGCAAGTTCTTGAACCTTTCACATTGCCAATGTCCTCTTTCCTTACTCTAGCTCCCACACATGCATAACACTCTCACCATCGTCTTCTTGACCTCTCCTCTCTACGCTCTCTGCTGCATCTCTTGCGTCACACCCCCATCAGTTCGGGCAGGTTGGAGTGGGCAACTCGGAGGACCAGTGCTCGCCACAGCGGATAGAGAGCATTTCCGAGGTCAGCTCTGTGTGTGTGTGCTGGCACGGGGGGGTGGTAGAAGAGTGAGTGGAGTTTTGGAGGGGCTTTCAAGTTAAATGAGTTGCTATAGCGGGCATGGCTATGTGCTCCCCGTGCTGCTCTGATCCCAACTCGCCATGTCCACACCATTTTTCCCCTGTTCTCACCGCTTCACTGCCCAACCCCTCCACCCTCCCTCCTCCTCCCCTACTTTAATAACACTGTGGCGGCAGCGGGTGGTGGCGGTGGCGTGTGGGTGGCGGCACACGGTGGTGTTGAGTGAGGGGGGCAACGTGTACTCGTGGGGGCGAGCCACCAGTGGCCAATTGGGCCACGGCGATACCACCGACAGGTGGGTACATGTGACATGGTGCTATCACGGATAGGTTAGGTCATGATCCTATCACCGACAGTTTTTGTGTGACCCATGGGACATCATCATCATCACACGGTGGTGGTGAGAGAGGGGGACAATGTGTACTCGTGGGGGCGAGCCACCAGCGGCCAGCTAGGCCGTGGTGATACCACCGACAGGTGGGAGTGCTGCTGTGTGCGCAGGACAGGTCAGCCCATGCAGTGTGGTGAGATGCTTGAGCATTCATGGGTCATGGCGCTGGCATGAGCAGGCTAGATGTGCGGCTCATGGGATTCTTTCAAAGGCCCTGCCGTTCACGCCTGCCTGCCCTCTCTCTCGCCGGCCCACTTTCCAGGAACCTGCCCAAGCGAGTGGAGGCCATAAGTGCGGACGGTGACAGGTGTCGCCACATCAGCGGGCCGGGCGGAAGGAAGGACGCAGCGGCAGCAGCGCATGCGGAGGTGCCCGATGCTGCTGCCACGTGGGTGTCGCCTGCTGAGCGCTACGCCGTGGTGCCAGGAGAGAAGGTGGGTGGGCGGGGAGAAACAAGGGGATGGTCTGTGGTGGGGAGAGGGTGGGGGGGAAGGGAGAACCATGAGTTAGTGTTGTGTGAGTGCTCGCCCAGCTTGCTCTGACGCTGAGTGCGGAGTTTGGAATGCCGAGCTGCCACACACTATTCTTGACTTGAATGCCTTGCACGCGTTCTGCATTGGCTTGCCCTGTCAGCACCTGTCAACCCGCACTTCCAAGCGCCATCCAATGCGCTCTTCGCATGCTTATGGCCTATGCCCATGTCACCTGCTCTTATGCGCTTCCTCACCAATGCACATGCTGTGCTTTACGGTGCTGTGCTGTGCTGTACGGTGCTGTGCGGTGCTGCCCTTGTTGCATGCAGGCGGGGGAGGATGATGCGAGTGTGCCGGACGCAGATGCCAAGCGACTCAAGTCATGAGCAGTGGGAAGCTGTTGTCACCGTTACCAGTCGAGCACACCACTCTCCCAACACACACTCCCCTATCTCAACTGCTGCCTCTCTCCATGCGAATCGAGTAGGTCTGCACATCATGTGTGTTGAGAATGGCATGTGTTGGTTCCTATAACTTTACAGCTGTGAGGTGACAGGCCACAGACTGCACTAGCCAGACAACTTAGGCTTACAAAATAAACATACGGTATAAGCTTAGCTGACGTACATGACAATGAGTTTGAACAGCCTTGCAAATGCAAAGAAACCTCCACATCAAAGGGCTGCAGAGTAGCGGAGTACATTTGCTGGCCATCCACGCCATAAAAGGCCACTGAGAGGTGGTTCCCGTCCACCTGCGCCACGCTGTCTGAAGCCCTGGCAGAGCCCTCATTTTCTCAAAGTAGTGGAGTACATCTGCTGGCCGTCCACCCCATAGAAGGCCACTGAGAGTCTATCCCTGTCCACTTGGAGGGCGCTGAAGCCCTGGCCTGGGAAGTAGAAACGCAGCCCGGGGGCTTGTGAGGGGGCGTCGCTGCGCCATGCCTTGGATCCACCCCCCACCGTGAAGTAGTGCACTGGACTGGGGTGGGTGAGGCGAGGACGCAGGTGTGGAAGAGAGGACAGCAAGTGAGGGGGGGAAGAGAGGACAGCAAGTGAGGGGGGGAAGACAAGGCGAGGATGAAGGGAATGAATGCAAAACACACTCCACGTGCATTGGATACTCCAAGGCCCGACCTTGGTGCAAAGGTGCATGTGCCATGGTGGTGAGAAAGGGTGCGAGACATGATGCATGCACGTAGAAGGTTTTGTGGTGCATGTATGGTACCTGTCATCCTTCTTCACATGCTGAGTCGATTTTTGAGTCGACTCAAAAATCGACTCATCACACGTGGTGCATGTATGGTACCTGTCATCCTTCTTCACATGCTGCATGTTGTGGTCGTGCCCGTTTAGATATGCATCCACTCCGTAGCGCTGGTGACACATGGTCGGGGGAGAGCAGATGGGAAACAGGAGAGTTAATGCACAGCTCAAAGACATGCGTGGGCAGATCAATGTATGCACATGCACACAGAGGTGGGTCATCTATGCAGCTCACCTCGAGCAGCGGCTTGACGCGGTGGATCATCTCCTGCTGGTGGCCGTGGTGCCCGTAGCTGAACACCGGGTGGTGCCCCACCACCACCTTCCACCGCGCCCGAGAGTTGCCCAGCCACCCCTCCAGCTCCTGCAGCACGTACGGGGAGGAGGAAAAGACAGAGAGGAGGAGGACGAAGGGGAAGAGAGGGGGTTGGGGGAGGGAAGGAGCGGAGGATGGTGAGACAGAGGCAGCGAGCTGTGAGCAGCAGAATGTGCCAGACGAACTGTCCAAAGGGGACGGGAATGGGGGGGTCGCGTTACCAAGAGCTTTGGGAAAGGGAGGCAGTTGCAAGCTATGGTGGTGTGAGCGATGTGGAAGGGGGCAGCACAGCAGCAGGTGTCTTCCCCAAATCACCTGCAGCTGCGTGGTCTCCTGCTGTGTCCAGTTGGCGGTGTTGAGTCCGCGCCAGTCCACACGCCGCCCCTGCTTGTGGCGGTACGCGGGGACGAGGGGCGTGGTGTCGTACAGGAACAGGTCAACCAGGTCAACGCAGTCAACGCTAGCGGAGGGGCAGAGCGGCAGCGAGAGCGCCATGCTGCGGCGGCACACCCAGCGCGGGTCCCTGTTGGCGAGGGCTGGGTGCAGCTGAGCGAGAACGTTGCCGTAGTAGTCGTGGTTGCCCAGCACTGGTGGAGGGAATGGGGCAGGAAAAAGGGGGTGCGGGGGCGGGGGAACGGAGCAGTGTGAGCTGTGGTGAAGTGAGGTACGTGAGTGTGTTTGTGCATTGACACGTGAATGCATTAAAGGATTGCTCGCACATGGAGTGATGGCGTATTGCAACAAAAGCTCTCATGAACGCCACCGCTGCTCACACAGGTCCAGAAGAAGTGCGCAGTGCGTCCCTTGCGTACGAGAGAGTGCGACAAAGAGTGAGAGGGGGGGAGGGAATGATCAAGAGAGGGAGGGTGAGAAAGATTGGGAGGCGTACCTGCGTACCAGGGGACCTGCAGGCTGCGGTGCGTGTAGATGTTGGTGAAGGAGCGCGCAAACTTGTCATCGTTCACGTTTGTCAGCCCCTCGTCATAGAAGTTGTCCCCCACCGACACCACAAACTGAGGGACCATTTGTTGCCCCACTGCACCCATCTGCACCGCACAGGGTAGAAGGAAAGATGGGTGCATTGCATAGCAAGGAAGGGGTGTGCGGATGGCGTGTGGTCACAGCGTGAAGGACGATGAGAAAGGGCGTGCGTCGCACCTGCTGTGCGATGAGCGACTGGTTGAACGTGCCGTTGCGACCCCAGTCGCCGAACGCGAAGAAGCGAACAGCCGCGCTTCTGCTGCTGCTAATCTCGACGGCATCGTCAGCACGTGTCTCCAAGGCGGTTCGGCGCGGCGCGAGGAGGCAGAGCGCGCCGAGCAGAGCGACGCACCCGATGAATGCGGCGATCCTTGAAGCTGTAGCGATGCGACGCGCACCCGGGGAATGCGGCGATGAAGGGCTTCCGTCGCCGGGCGACACGTGTCTTGCGGGAGCAGAATCCTGAGGAGAGGCAAGGGGGATGGCAAAGAGGTGGATAGAAGGGAGCGCAGGGGATACTAGGAAGAAGGCGGAAAGCAGCGCAGGGCAAGTAGCAAGATTGATGAACTGTAATGCGCACAATATCTGCACATCACGGCGCATTCCCCTTCGCGCTGCGCCGTACCTCGCGCGGCAGCAGCGGCGTGGTGACGTGGACCGATACATCGCCCGCCGTCTCCGCTCCTCCCGCCATTCCTACCGGTGCAGACTTCCGTCCCCCGTGGGTCCGTAGGGTGAACGTAGCCGGCAACTACGCGGCGCTGCTCGCGAGAGAAAGGCGAGCGAATTCGCAATGATGCTTTGAGAATGGCGAGGAGCAGCGAGGAGATATGGAGGATGGCGGGTGGTCCGTCGGGTGGTGGGGGTGGTCGGTGGGTGCAGGTGCTCCGGCCTGGCCTTGGGATGTGTTGCGCGGGAATGATGCCGTGCTGCCTTGGGCTCGGTTCGGAAACACCTTTGTCGGAACAACCTAGGGAACGAAATTGCCTCGGGAACTGGGCTACCTTGGGAACAAGTTTGCCCTTGAAACTGCTTTGCCTCGGGAACATTTCTGCCTTGGGGACTGGGCCACCCCAGGCCCAAGGGAATATACCTTCAATAACTACACTACTTGAGTCCGTTCTGCAATAGTTTTTGACACATAAGAGAAATCGTCCGTCAAATTTACACCGATTTAGTACTGAGTGTGCACTCAGATTGCTTTCAGCATTTTCGGTCCGCGAACCTAGTAACGAGGAAGTGCCGTTTCGTCTTCTAACCGCCATCTGTTGTGCCTGTGATGCTCGCAAGAAGGCAGAACGAGACGTTTCGTCTCCTCGGTTTACCAACGACTTCCGCCGAGCTTTCATCGAGCGGATGTAAGAAGCTTTTGGGGAGCGAGCGCAGACCCAACAGCGGAACCGAGCGGTCAGGGTTGCGCGAACGCCTCGTCTCAGAAGTGAAGCGAAACGGCTCTGTTCATGTGGCTCCACCCCCCACGTGTTAGCGGTAGCTTGGCACAGCAGCCACGATGCTTGAAGCATTTACGGAGCTTGCAGTTAGGGAAGGCGAGGAGGTTTTCCGCGCTCAAGTTGCGCGCAACCACTCGCTCTGCTGACTTCGGGGGGATGGCTAACCGCGCCGCAGCTCCGTAGGCGACCGTCGATCGCAAGCAAGCATCTGAGAGCAACAATTAACCACCCGTCACGCACACCCACCCGAGGACTACTATTAGCTGCAGCATCGCTCGCACGCTTTTAGAGCGTACCAGACACTTGAGCTTGCGAGCTGCTATTTCTAACCTCCGCGCATCGCCCGCAAATGGCTCCGCTCACCCGCGCCACTGCGCTGCCCGCGCAACCACCCGCCGCATCACATCCAGACGATTCTTCCGCCAACCCAGCGGCGGAGCGCAGCGGCATGCACACTGCCCCTCGATTCGTTCCGCTCGCAGCCCTCTCCGCGCGCCCCTTCCCCTCCCCCCTTGTCGGCGGATCCACGCCCGCCAAGCCCGGGGGGCCGTTGCGGCTGGTGCTGCCGGCGGGAATTGGACGAGCAGCGACCGCCAGCCGGGCGCAGGAGCATCCGGGGGAGCGGCAGGGGGAACAGCCGCGCGAGGAGGCGCTCAGGGGAGCCTCCCCAGCCAGCAGCGCGCGCCCACTTGTCTCCGCCACGTCGGGGGCACATGGCGCGGCTTCCAGGGGAACAAAAGCGCGGGGAGGGGCGGCGGAAATGGGTACCGGGGGAGAGAATGCGTGGGATCGCGGGGGAGCCGGCAAGGAGGGGGAGGCGGACAGCTGTGGCGAGGGGGCGGAGAGTATGGGGAAGGCTGGGAACGAGAGGAGAGGCGGCAGCAGCAGCGAGGCGAGCGGAGGGCTGACAGGGGAGCAGGATAGGGGGAGCAGGGGGGGCGAGGAAGCGGAGGAGGACGGGGAGAAGGAGCAGAGGAGGCGGAGTGGCGGAGGGCGGAGGGGAGCATCGGTGGTGAACAGGGGGGCGTGGACGGCGGAGGAGGATGAGCGGCTGGCGGCGCTGGTGGCGGTGCACGGGGCGAAAAACTGGAGCGTCATCGCTGCTGGTATCCCTGGCAGGCCGGGGAAGAGCTGCCGACTCAGGTGCGTCACACGGTGCAGTGCGGTGAGGTGGGGCGAGATGTGCTGGGATGAGTGGAAACAAGGGAGTGATTCTGTGTTGATCTGCTTCACCTTGATTGTAGTTCAGTTGCTCTTTACCTTTCCTGGCTCTGCACATCTTCTCTTTTCCGAGCCCATGCTGGGCACACACATCCCCCTCCATCTATCCATCCCTCCTTTCCTCCCTCACTCCATCACTCCCTCCCTCCCTTCATCCTTCCCTCCCTCCCCTCTCCCTCACATCACACCAGGTGGTGCAACCAGCTGGACCCGGCGTTGAGGCGAGGCCAGTTCACGGTGGAGGAGGATGCGCGCATCATCACAGCGCACGCCATCCACGGCAACAAGTGGGCCCTCATCGCCAAGAACCTTCCCGGACGGTGCGCACCTACTGCCTTCAGCACCGTTCACTTTGCCACCCGTTGTCCACTGCAATTCTCTCTCCTTCCTCCATCACTCCACATGCAACCCCTCCCTTCTACCACACAACAGCCTCTTATATATCCCCCCTTCCTCACACTCTCACCCCTCCTCTCCTGTCCCTCTTCCCCCCACCGTCCCCCCTCCACAGCACGGACAACGCCATAAAGAACTATTGGAACTCCGCCATGCGCCGCAAGTACCCTCTCCTGCGCGGCCTCTCCACGCCCCCTCAAGGCCCCCCACACTCCGCCCAGGCCCACTCCGCACAGTCCCACTCCGCCTCGCCCTCCCACCCTGCACCAGCGCAGCCCCAGCCCTCCCACGCGCCCGCCCTCCCCTCTGGCAACCAGCAGGGGGGAGAGGAGGGCGCGTACGAGCGGGCAGTGCGGTTTGTGGCGGGCGTGCAGGCGAGGGGCGTGGCGGCGCTGGTGGAGGAGGTGGAAAGAGTCAGGGAGGAGGGCGTGGGGCGCATCCGCAAGATCCTGGAAGGTTCGCCCCTGGGTGATGCGGCGCTGCTGCAGGCGGTGGAGAGGGAGTGGCGCGAGAGAGAGGCGCGCGGGCGAGGGGGGGAAGGGGGAGAGGGGGAGGGGGAAGGGGGAGACGAGGAAGGAATGGCGAGTGGGGAAGGGGAGGGGAAAGAAGGGGAGGGCGTGGGGGAGGCAGGAGAGGGAGCAAGGGCGAAGGATGGTCAAATTTTTGATGAGGACGCGGGAATTATGGAGAGGGAGGTGGGTGTAAGCGAGGGAGACGAGAGGGAAGAAGGAATGGCCGAGGAGAGCGAGGAGTGGGGGGATGGAGAGCAGCAGACGGTGCAGGGAGCAGGGGAATGGGAGACAGTGCAGGGGGAGGCGAGGGTAGGGGGGTGGAGGGCGAGTGAGGCGATAGAGGGGGGGAGAGGAGTGAAGCAGGAAGTAGAGGAGGGGGTGGATGGCATAGAAGATTATAGAGGGATGGAAGAGGAGGGTGGATTGTGTGCTCCGGAGCTACACGCCTCAACAGCATGTGCTCTCCCTCCGCCCCTGGCACAGTGTGACGTCGTGCCTTTTGCCAGCCAGACTGCCGCCAACATCAGCCATGCGACCCATGCGACGAGGGCGAGTGGTGGCAGTGACAGCACGCACGCTGGGGGCGTGCCTGTGGAGGCTCATGATGCGGATGACTTAGTTCCACACAGTGCGGGTGGGAGCAGCAGCAGGAAAAGGCGGTATGAGGCCTGCTGTGCGGATCATGTGGGCGCTCGTGCTGCCCACGGTGCTGCTGCTACTGGCGGTGGTGGTGGTGCTGCTGCCACGAGTCAGCACAGCGCCCTCACCTGCCACTTTGACCGCCGCCCTCGCTTCCGAGTGTCACCCACTGCCCTCCCTGTCACCTCGTCTGTGCCTGCACCCACTGCTGCTTCGCCTCCACTGCTGCCGCCTCCCACCCTTCCCACCACCACCCCTACTGTTACCACCTCCTCCCTCCCTCTCTCACACACCTCTCAAGGCGCCACCCAGCAGACACACACACCGTCACCATCACCATCCTCCCCACCACTCACTCCCTCTTGCCCTCCCTCCCTCACTCACCCCCACCACCACCATTCCCTCGCCCCTCCACATCTCTCCTCGCGCTTTTCATTCGCCACTCTCCCCTCCGGCCTCTCCCACTCCTCTCTCCTCCCTGCCACCCACACTCCCTCCCTTCTCCAGCCCTCCCAACCATCCAATCCTCCCACACCCCTTACTGCCCAGCCACTCCCGCTTGACCGAGCCTCAGGTCCTGGTTCGGGTGAAAGCGGCCTGGTAGGTGCAGGACAGGCGGCAGCAAAACATGGTGGCGGTGGCATGAGGGGCGGTGGAGGAGGGGACGGGAGCATGAGGGGGGTGGGTTTGGGGGCATTTCAGCTGGGGAAGGTGTTTACTGCAGTGCAGGTGACAGGGGGCGATGAGAGCTTGTGCACGCACAGGGGGTGTGAGGCCGATGAACAGTGTAAGGCAGCCGCGAGACAAGGGGAGAGGCAGGGACAAGAATGGGAAAAGGAAGGAGGCTGTGCAGGAGAGAGAATTGAGATTTCGGAGGTTACGGAGGAGGAAAGCAGAGGGCAGCAGGGGATGGAAGTCTGTGGGTCAGAGAAAGAGAAGACCCTGTGCCCACACGGAATAGATAAAACCAACTCACAGCCCTTGCAGCACAGTCTGCACCCAGACACATGCCTTGTTGGTGCAGTCCCACAGCCAATGCAAGACTGCCACGTGGCAGGGCAGGGGCAGTGTGGGGCACGCGTGCGGCGGCACGTGCATCGAGTATTGGCGTCGGCATGTGGGGTGGCCCGGCTGCTGCTGGAGGAGCTGCAATGGCGGCACGGAATGGTGGAGGGGCGAGCCGACGAGGAGGACGTGGAGGAGCGGTGGGGGAACGTAAGAGGAGAAGGTGGTGAGGGGCCACAGGTGGTAGATCCGGTGGGGGATGTGCGTTGTTGCAGTGATGAGCGGTGCTGCTCGGTGAGCAGTGGTGCTGAGGGTGCAGCTGAGGGCATGGCATGCCGGCATGTGCTGGATGCCATGTTGGCTGTGTGCTTCAGACTTGCTGCACCAGGTGGGGCTAGCGAGTGCAGCCATAGATGTGCTAGTGCACATGATGATGCGCGATTTTAGTTTGCACAAATCCATGCATGCTTTCTTGTAATCCTCTTGTACATCAAATTGCGCTTAGAAATGTGTTCCATCAAGCTGTTTGATGTAGAGCTATAATTATGTAAATACAACAATAGCTTGGATGTACAGCGCGCGTTAATCCGTTCGTTGTCGGGAACTGAGGGTTCTCAAAGGTACCACATGTGCTGCATGTTTCTCCACCATCAAGCGGCCATCCAACCGTCCTCGGTATAGTTTTCGTGCGCTTTTCCCACCACTCCACCAAGCCACACTCGAGTCGCACGGCTCTCCGAGTCTCTTCTCGCGTACCGATATTTTTTTTCTCGTTTCAGCCTAACTGCACGAGTGCTGCTCTCCGAGAATTATGACTGAAACATCTTGTGCTCTCCCGTCTCTCCTTGCGGCGGCGCAAGATGCCTTCGTAGCTGGGCCTTAGACTGCGCAATTGTCGCCGTAAACGCCGCCGAGAGTCCCGCTGCTGGGTGCGCGGCGCCATGGCGAGGGGCGAGGCGCGGAGAGGACCCGCGCGGGCCTCGGGGAAGCGACCGCACGCCGCCTCGTCGCGAGCAGCCTCGTCGCATAGCACGTCGCACGGCGCGTCGTCAGCGTCGCCACGATCGCCGTCACCACAATGGCACAGTAGGGGCCCCGCAAACGGCTTTCCCCCATGGGCGCGACGTGAGAGCGCGGGGAGCGCGTTCGCGGAGCGGGCGGCCCGATACTGCGCGGTCGCGTGGCGCGTGGCGGGGGCGGCAGCGCGGTTGGCGGCGGCGGCGGGCTTGTGGGCGGTGGTGGCGGCGGCGGCGTTCGTGATCCGCGGGTGCGTCTCGCTGGTGCCGCCGTCGCTGGGGTCGGCGGTGCTGCCGCTGGTGGGCGCGCTGGTGGGCATGGGGCGCACCCTCGGCTGGCTCGTGCTGCTGCCCTCCCTCGTACGCCCCCCCCTCGCCCGCCTCGTCGCCCACCCCCTCGCTCAACCCCTCGCACGCCCACTCCCTCCTCCATCCACCCTTGCCTCACGCATCCCCACTTGTGCTTGCCTTGCCACCATCCCCACTTGTGCTTGCCTTGCCACCATCCCCACTTGTGCTTGCCTTGCCACCATCCCCACTTGTGCTTGCCTTGCCACCATCCCCACTTGTGCTTGCCACCATCCCCACTTGTGCTTGCCTTGCCACCATCCCCACTTGTGCTTGCCTTGCCACCATCCCCACTTGTGCTTGCCTTGCCACCATCCCCACTTGTGCTTGCCTTGCCACCATCCCCACTTGTGCTTGCCTTGCCACCATCCCCACTTGTGCTTGCCTTGCCACCATCCCCACTTGTGCTTGCCTTGCCACCATCCCCACTTGTGCTTGCCTTGCCACCATCCCCACTTGTGCTTGCCACCATCCCCACTTGTGCTTGCCACCATCCCCCACGTGGCTCCTCCCCTCACGCCTCCTACCCCACCTGCTTTCCACCCACTTCTTCCCCCTCTTCCGCCACCCCACTTCTTCCCCCTCTTCCGCCACCCCACTTCTTCCCCCTCCTCCGCCACCCCATTTCTGCACCCTCCTCCCCCTCCCATCGGCTGCGGCGAGCAGGTGGTGCTGGTGCTGCTGTCATTCTTCCTGCCGCTGCTGCTCACACTCGCGCTGCTGGTGCTGCTGGCGCTCTTCACAGCACTGCGCGCCAAGCTGCTGCTCTTCGCCCTCGCCACCGCCCTCACAGCCGGTAGGTTGCACCCCGCCCTCACAGCAGGTCAGCGAGACACCTTGAGCGCTGCCGTCTGAGGTGGTTGTTGAGTATTCTTAAGCACCAACTGATTGGCTGGTCCTCTCTCCCCCACTCACACACACTCTTGCCTTGCCCGGCCCCCCACCCCACCCACACACGCACGTCTTGCCTGCCTCCCCTCGTTCCCGTTCTCCTGCCCACCAACTCCCCCAGCGCCACCTTTCTCCCCCCGGCCCACCCACCCTCCCACCCGCGCTCTTTCCCCCCTGCTCTCCCCCCCTTGCTCTCTACCCCCCGCTCTCCACCCCTGCGCATCCACCAGGGATAGTGGCAGCGAGCGGGTCCCCCCGTGCAGCGCTGCTGCTGCTGGTGGCGTCAACGGTGTACCACGTGGTGGTGCGCGCAGGGCTCACCACGCTGTGCCTCACGCTGCTCGCCTCCTTCCTGGCCTGCGACCTGCTGCTCCTCCTCGCCTCCTCCCTCCAAGATGACCCCGCCCAACCCGACTCGTCCCCCGCAAACCAGTCCCAAGCAAGCACTGCTGGGGGGGGGAGCCTGGGGTAGGGGTGGAGGGAGCGGTAGGGGAGGGGGGGAAGCGGGGTTGGCAGGGGGAGGGGGGGCCGGGGGAGAGGCGAGTGGGGGCGGGGAGATAGAGCGCATAGTGCGGTGCAGCAACCACTACGAGGTGCTTCGCCTGGCGCCCTTCTGTGCGGCTGTGGACGAGAGCGCCCTGAAGAAGGAGTACCGCCGCATGGTGGGGGCCGGGGGGAGGGGTAGGGGCGGATGGGGAATGGGAGAGGGCGCATGGGGGGGAGGGTGACTTGGGATATGGAGGGGCTGGGGGGAAGGAGACGAGGCTGGGGAGGATAGGAGGCTGGGAAGTGGCTGGGAGGGAGTGGTGTGAAGAGCTTTATAGGAATTACGCGTGAGCTTGTAGTATGCGGTTTGCAGTTGCTGACTTACAGTGATGAGTTGTGTGCCTGTGCCTGTGCATGTGCATGTGCATGTGCATGTGCCTGTGCATGTGCCTGTGCATGTGCCTGTGCATGTGCCTGTGCCTGTGCATGTGCCTGTGCCTGAACATGTGCATGTGCATGTGACGTGCAGGCAATGCTAGTGCATCCGGACAAGCATGGGGGGGACGAGAAGAATGCCATAGTGGCTTTTCAACGCCTGCAGAGCGCATACGAGGTACACCATGTGCTTTCTTCATACATGACTCACTGACCACCACTCCATGCCACTGCATGTGCTCGTTGCCATCTCTTCCCTTTTCCTTTCGCTTGCCTGTCAACGCGGTGTGTGTGTGTGTGTGTGTTGTGTGT